CTCTTAAGAGAGTGTCACGATTCCTGGAGAGGGCCTTCTACTGGCCGAAGATAGGGACTGATGTAGAGGAATATGTTCGAACGTGCCTCACTTGCCAACAAGATAAGGTGGAGCAACGGAAGCCGGAGGGACTTTTGGAGCTGTTGCCCGTACTAGAAAGGTCGTGGGAGAGCATTTCCTTGGACTTCATATCAAGCTTGCCCGTAGTAGGGAGACTCGGATCGATACTCGTGGTGGTTGATCGATTTTCTAAGTATGCAACTTTCATTGCTGCTCCCTTACACTGTTCAGCAGAGGAGGCAGCCAAGCTGATGATGAAGGATGTTGTGAAGTATTGGGGAGTCCCGCACAATATCATCAATGATCGAGACGCTCGGTTCCTAGGACGATTCTGGACCGAGCTATTCAAATTGTTGGGGTCAAAGTTATACTTCTCCACAAGCCTCCACCCCCAGATGGATGGCCAGACTGAAAGGATAAACTCGCTCCTAGAGTAATATCTTTGGCACTCCGTGAGTGCCAACCAACGAGATTGGATGAAGTTGTTGGACATTGTCCAATTCTCCTACAACTTGCAGCGGAGCTCTGCGTCCAACAAGAGCCCCTTTGAGATCATTACAGGGCAACAACCGTCAACTCCTCACACCATGGTAATTGGGTATACTGGGAGTAGTCCGTAAACCTACCACTTTGCAAGGGAGTGGCATCGAAATGCAGATATTGCGCGGACTTACTTGGAGAAGGTGACAAAAAGAATGAAGAAGTGGGCAGACTTGGGAAGGCGACCGCAAGAGTTCAAGATCGGCGATTTTTAGGAACAAAGTACATAAAGGATTGGTGCGCAAGTATGAAGGGCCATTCCCAATTATCAGTAGGGTGAGCAACGTCTCCTACAAGTTGCAGCTGCCGGCGTGGTTCAAAATTCACAATGTTCTTCACGCCAGCAACTTGAAAGCCTACCACTCAGATCCGCAAGATGCTTCCTGAGTGTTCCAACTCGGCTACCCCCCACCACAGCCTCCTACGAGAAGCGAGTTGAAACCATTTTAGCGGACCGCAAGATAAAGCTATCCACTGGAGCTGAGCAGACCGAGTACTTGGTGAAGTGGCGAAAGCTTCCTCGAATTGAAACCAGTTGGGAGCCTGAAGACGCCCTACGACATGAAGAAGCAATCATCAACAACTATCAACAAGCATCGACGAGGGCGTCGACAGCTTGAGTGGGGGAGAATGTCACGAACGATTGTCGTGCACCCACAACAACTCCGTTCAACGAACTGTTCGTCGCTCTCATCTACATGTACAGCTGCTTGGCAACATGTTTTGTTTTGGTTTTAAGTCATTTTGCTTGTAAAAATGTAAGTTCGAACAAGTTGCAGTGCTACAGTGTGATTGCTCATCGAACCGAGCAAAATAGCCCCAAAACAGCCCAAAACAGCTCCGGGCTGTTTTCGCATGCCACGGGCTGTTTTCTGCAGCTCGCTGCTGCACACGAAACATCAGCCATCTCAGCACCCTGGAACCACCCGGGTGGCACCATGGGGGATGGGGCTTCGGTATAGTGTCGGGCGTTGAACAATCTTTCGCAAGTTTGCACGTTACCTTGACGGGAACTTGTTGTCGCGCCCGACACTTGGTGAGCAGCTGTTTGTGGACTTGTAGCTGTTTTGTTCAACCCTCTAAAGTCCTTGTTTTCCCCTTCTCCCTCTTTTCTCTTGTGCACGCAAGGTGCTCGCTGAATTGCTTGTAAAGCTTCCCCCTTTTCACGAGACGTCAGGACTTGTCCGTCGCTCGTTCTTCGAACTAATTAACTTTCTCTTTTACAAGTCCTTCGGGACCTGCGAGAGGTTGCAAGTGGGCTGATCTTTGCGGACGCAAATCGCAAGGGCGAAGCGCGACTTAAGCAACGCAAGCTAAGTTCGCGTCTTTGTCGCAAGGGTGCCTCGCGCCTTAGGCAACACAAGCTAAGTTCGCGTCTTTGCCGCAAGCACAAGCTAAATTCGCGTCTTTGCCGCAAGGGTGCCTCACGACTTAGGCAATTCCAGTTAAGTCCGTGACAGTATACCATATACGACAGAGAAAAAAAACAGAACCTAACCTTGCTTTGATACCATGAACAGGACAATAGAAGAAGAGAGTTTCACTTTTACATATAGTCGAACCAGAATAAAGAAAAAAAGTAAAGAACTACCTAAATAGATCTAGGTGCTAATCTAGGAAATATATAACAAATAAATCAGGAATAAATCAACAATCATATCCTAGTCTATCATATCATATAAGGTAGTATGTCAATAATAAAATCACCACAGATCTTGGCAGATCTCAACAAGTCAAACCATAGCAGATTTGACAGATCTCAACATAACATGTATTGAGGCCTTATGTGAATGATTCGGTAGCCCATCATTGGTGTAAGACGCTAATATAAAATGAATGGATATAGTTTATGTGTAGTGTTTGCACTACATGACACGCGTCAAGAAGTGTAATAAAATGTCAATGTTTGACATGGACATGGCTCAAAGCATTCATGTGTGTTGATACCATCAACACAATTCTCGGCTTATCGACACCAGTGCCACTCATTGCTCTTGCAATGGATGCAAAGAAGCAATGGCAAACAAGTTCGGGGGAGAAGCGCGTCGTCACCAAGTCCAGTCTTGACCCGACCGACCGAGATCTTCGCCCTCAGGACGATCCTGGACGTCGCTAGTCGGACCAAGCCGTGTCAGCCACGCAGTCACGGCTTGAGGTTCGCGGAACATTATCTTTATCATATATTTTTTGTAATTATAGTTAATTAAACTTTTTTCCTTTAGAATTATCCGTAAGGATTATAAAGTTATACCTAACGAATGTTTGATAAACCATAGATTGTTGGTATAAGTATCTGTTGGACAAAATGGAAGAGAAAAAAGTGTTAAAAAATTACCCCGACTAGGTGGACTTTTTAAAGGCAATAATATAAGGATTTTTAAGTATACAATAGAGAAAGAGGACATTTGGAACTTTGACGAAGCTAATAGAAATATCATATAGACTATGATGATCAATAAAATTTGGAACACGACAAAGGAGATTCTAGGGTAACCAAAAGGTAGATGTGTAGCCTGGTAGTGGTACGAGGAAGTTCAAAAAGCAATTACTACTAAGATCATGATAAAAATGAGAACTTTAAAATAAATATAAAATCTAAATAAGTGGCAAAAGAAGTGCTGATGGTTTGGCAAGATATAAAGTTAGGTACGAAGGACAAAAAAGGATATATCTCAAATTGCTAAGGCTCCGAAGAAAGAGCAGGGATTTAGGTAAGATTGAATGCATGAGTATGAAAAAAAAATGATAGTGATATGTAGGAAAGATGGAAAGATTATTTCTGTAGATTATTTGATGAACATTTTACACAACTTGAGACAGTATGGTCCGACTGAGGATCAATATTGATATCAGACCAAGTTTTGAGACTTGTGGATAGAATGATTGGTTTTTGACCAATGTTAGGCAGAACACTAGTTTTCGCCAGGATACTTCTGAATTTCAATCTGTTTGGCAAAGAGCTGTGATTAAGATTATCTTATCCAAACATCAATGTGAAAATCAGCATTTCTCATTACTTATCCATGTTACCAAAGACACCTGTAGATTAAATGGGTTAAGAATAATTGGTTTTGAGCAACTTACCCTAAACACATATTTTGGCCTGATAATTTCTAGCTTCCAATCTGTTTGGCCAGGCAAAATGGGGATGTCTGGATGCTGGTCTGGGCATAGATGTGTGTACCACCCTGTAATGATACACCAGTAGAGTGTATTAAACTATTAATAACATATGATTTCCATAAGATTTTGATATCTTATGCTGGTTAAGACAATCATAAGCTTCATGAATTTGTCAAGCATATCATTGTGGTTGGATCTGGCAATTCACTCTTATGTATTTACTCTTTTCTTTTTCCTCTTTTGTCAGTTCAATTATGGGCATGTTTTAAGTTCAAGATTTTTTGTTAATCTCTGCATTAATTCTGCTGTAAAGGTGATAAAAGTGACAGATGTTGCTAATAAGTTTTGTTGCCTTGAATCAAAGCTTAGTGTTGTGGAATGTCAATTTTAGGTAATTTGACTTATTATTACTTTTTACTTAGCCAAGAAAGAACATCGTGAGAACATCAGCAACGCAAGAAAGGGAAAATAACTACTTAATACATGACTTGCTCAATTATATAATTGTTCAGAAACTAAGAAAAATCTGAGGTGAAATCTCCAAAAGATTTTTTAAAGTTGTTTTATTTGCTCCTAATTTACTTTAAAGCAACTCTTGCAAATAAAAAGAATCTTTTTTCCCTCTCCTATTTCTGTAAAGTCACCATTACATGATTCTATTTATTATCAAATTCTAACCATTAGAAATCACAAATTGATGCTTTAGGCGACTTTCAAAAATCCATTATGTTGATAACACTGAATATCCAGACCTTGGTACTGGCAATTGCCTCGTACACAGAAATTACTTGCTATTTTTGCAAATGTATGAAACATATAAAACTTGCAAAAGGATGTATCTGTGATACGCTGTCCATCTTTACTAAAAGATAAATTGTGCAAAACTTGGTATGCTGTTTTATTTGTGAAACAATGAAATATCACTTATGATGAGTTTGGTTCATAGTAGTTGATGAAAGCATGTTAGAAAAATACCATATCTCAGGTGGAGAGATTGGTGGATGAGAGTAAACTTGTCATGTCTTTGTATACTGTTAGGTGTTAATTGGGAGTAGGGGTTTCTCTTGCTGGGTTACTCTGTGATCGCTTTGATACTCGCTGGGGTCCATGTTATGAATGACCATATGAAATTACCTTATGATTCTTATTTTTTTATATTTTACCTAATCGTCGTTATATTTGGTTTCCTTTTGAGTGCATTATAAACAATGGAGATATGGTTCCATGACAATGAAAAAGTGACATGTTTTTGATGGCGATTTCTTTTTGTGGTGCAGTGAATGGCTCAGGATCCTATAATATCTTGAAGTCTGACTTGCAGGTCTACAAGCTATTCGGGAAAGAGTTAGTGAGATTCCTTAAGCATCCTCTTATGGTGTTTCGGTGTAAATTAGTCTGAAATTAAAACTATTTGTCATCATAGGCTGTGTATGTACCATATTCATCTTTGTTTTATTCCCTGGTTTTAAGTTTGACTACTCTACCTGTTTCTCTTCGATGGGCACATTCTTAAGTAAACGACCTTTTAGTGTTTGTGAGATATGTTCTGTAGCTTTTGCTGATCGACTTTTCTGGGACCTGATGATGTTATTGGAACCACCATATAAATGACTTTGCATCTCTTGCATTACTTGTATTTTTTTTTATAAAAAATTAAAATAAATGTTTATTACATCAAATAATATATTGTTCACATGTGAATTCAAACTTAAGACCTGTTATTTATGCAATAATGTATTAACCAATTTAGATGTTTTAATAGAGATTTTTATATTTAAGACGTCGGTTTAGTCAGTTTAAATAGTTTGATATAATACCATATTTAACCATTGTTTTTGGGACGCACAATACAAGAATGAGGTTATTAATGCTGAGTCCCCAAACAGGTGGCGTCACCTGCCATTCATTATATCAAACATTCCTATAAACCCGCGGGTAATGCTTCTGATAAGATCCTAAAGTCTTATCGTAAAAATGAAGAAGAGAAAGGGGAGAAATGGGGATGATAATGATCGCTTCGAGGGGATCGGCCTTCCTTGATCTCTTCGAGGGGATCGGCCCTCCTTGATCGCTTCGAAGAGATCAAGGAGGGTCGATCCCCTTGAAGCGATCATTATCATCCCAATTTCTTCCCTTTCTCTTCTTCTTTTTTACGATAAGACTTTAGGGTTTTATCATTTGGTATCAGAGCCTACGATAAGACTTTAAGGTCTTATCATTTGGTATCAGAGCGACGATAAGACCTTTATGGTCTTATCATTTGGTATCAGAGCCTACGATAAGACTTTAGGGTCTTATTAGCTTCTCTTGTCTCATCCCTCGGTCTCACCTTATTCCCCATTTAGATGATGTGGGAGGCGGGGAATGGGGAATCGTCGATGGGGGTAGAGTCCATGAATTTTTTTATATCCTTTTAATTAATTTATTTAATAAAAAATAAAATTATTATCAAACTTAATTAATAATAATATTTATATAAGATAAATATATTTAAATATAAATAAAATTGAGGAGAAAGAAAGAAAAATATTGAGGAATTATCATCGTCGTTCACTGTTTGTCATTTGCAATTGTCGATTGTTGGAGGAATCATTGTTTATCGTGGAGAGAGGAGGATCAAGAAAAAATATCGAGGAATCACAGTAACAAGTTGTAATTTCAAAATCCTTCCAAATCTATCATCGAGAATTTTTCATCATTAAAACTTTGGGGGCCCTGAAAAGGATTTTAGGCTACTAACAGGAGATCAGTAAAGTGATAACGTACAAACTCGACAAAAACGCTCACAACATTGATGTGATTTCTTTATCTATATTCATCAATACATAGTCTCAAATTTTTGACTAAAGTAAACATTTTTGAATACAAAATCTTTGTTCACAAAGGAAACTTACCAAGTTATGAGCTTAAAAGTGCATATCAATCTTTGCAATCTCAGCATTTTTTTTTCATTTTATATATTTTATAATATATCTGAAAAATCAATTGGCTTTTAAGTACAACATAGGCTTTGTAAGAATCGGTTGATTTACACAATAGATATATTTGTTTCAGGAGAGAGATCACAAACTCTCCACCTTATTATCTATATAATGAAAATAATACGAATTACTTATCATTATGTGTGTCACTAACAAAACTTATCATCCTAGTTGTGATGTCCCATAAAAATCGGAATATAAGTTACATCATTTAATGGGAGCATAATTTCATCCAATATTTTGATTTTTACTGCAATAGTATCTATGAGATTTACCAATCTTTTTCTTCACTTAGTTGATAAAGGAATTTGAGCTCCACTTCAACATAAAACAAATGAATTCACATTTTACCTCAGAAAAATCTTATATTTTCATGCAAACAGATTGCTTTTGTCAATTCAAATCACACTTAAACCTTGGGAGGTAACACATGTTTTGGTATTTACTTTGCTTCATCTTTGGTAGTAGAAATTAAATAATCGATCCATTCTTATATATCAAGATTAGGGATCATTATTTGCTTTATCTACCATAAAAAAAAGATCTTTACACTTTCTTTTACTGTATCTTTTTCTTCCATTGACCTCTCAATCGCTTCTTAGTACTTCTTAGGCTATCCTTGTAGTCTCTGCAAAGCTGATAGAATTATATCTATAGAGTAGTTCCTACGAAGCCGTCCTCTTTTGAAGGGGTTAGTGAGTTTCCCTTAGTCCTTTCACATGGAGAGGATTGGATTCTAAGCCTCTACCTCTTTCACGTACTAATGAAAGCATATAGGTTGTTGACCTTTTAGTCTACTAGAGAAGATTTCCAAATCAAAAGTTTCAACGCTAAAGCTTATTGGGAGAGTGAATCAGTCCTTCCCATGTATTATTGAATGATCAAGTAGTCATATCAATAGACGTAACCTCAGATATATATCTACAGATGCCTTTGTTATTGGGCTATAATTTTCATTACGTCTCTCTTTTAGTAGTGAAAATACTTTTGATATTGAGAATAGCGAGGTTATATTTAATTCTTAAATTTATTTAATTATTTTTATGAGTGAATATCATTTAAATAACATAAATTCTACCCTCATCCTTTTTTTTATTCTCACTTATCTTTGTATTAGTCAATCAAAATATATTATATTAATTTGAGATCTAATTTTAGAGTTAGGAGAGCTTTGAGCTTTGTCAAAGTGTTGGAGAAGAAAATATCTCCTTGCCTGAAGTGAGGAGCAATGACCTATTGACTTATTATAGCGACCACTGTCATAGCTCAAGTGACTCCGGGGATGATCATTCCGGAAGAAGTGCAAGTTAAGAAGTTTTTCAAAATTTGAAGATCCACATTAGTAATGTGAGAAATAAATTAGATTTGATTGACTTAAACCGATCTAAACCCCCTTATAAGATGAGTCTCATGATTTATCTCTTTTCGATGAAGTAATTATGATTTACTTTTGTACTTCCATACTCAAACAGAATCAAACAAATTTCTAAAAGAAAGATCCATGACTAAGGGTCTAGGATCCCCCATAAGCTTTGAGCCTTGGGACAGCTTATGCAAGTGATGGGTATTAAGCAAATAATCTTTGTCTACTATCGTTATCATAATAATTGTTGCTTTTATATTAAAATAATATTTTAATTATCTTAAAGTGATAATCTCATTTATCGAAGCTTATGTTGTGGTTGATACGAGTTTAGGATCCCTCATCTATGGAGCTTAGGATCCCCCATAAGCTTTGAGCCTTGGGATAGCTTATGTAAGTGATGAGTATTAAGCAAACAAACTTTAGCTACCATCGTTATCTTAATAATTGTTGCTTTTGTGTTAAAGTAATATTTTAGTTGTCTTAAAGTAATAATCTCATCTTCATCATCTTAGGCTAACCAATACTTCACGTAGTATCTCAATCTACACGTATCAGTGGATGCAAGCTTTGGCAAGACACCTTCTCAAGCATTCTCTCCCCTTACATAATCTTGAATTACTTTAGTTTGAGATTAGCTCTTTCATCATTTATAGGTTGTCTCTTCTCAGGCCTAATGTTTATGGAGAACTTGATTACTGATGAGTTAAGCCACCAAGTCCATGACGGATATCCAACTTTTCAGTGACTAGGTAGTGTAGTTTGACATTGTTTTGTACATGATTGAAATAACATTGGTTGACCCTCATGTCTTCCAATTGATATAGTGGATGAGAATCATTTGGCTACTGAGAATTTAACAATGCTCAAACAAAATTTTTACATAAATAAGACATACTTACAATTTCTTTAATTTGATAGATTATTTTTGTAATGGTAATTGAACTTATGTTGAGGCTCACTTAGTCATCTGAGGAAGGTCGGTCCATAAATTGGTCTAAATTTTTTTCCTAGAGTTAAAAATTCTAATCCTCAATTATTTTTATTTTTGTTGCTTACATCATGAATTATTTTGATGTTATAATTGACTCATTAGCTCGATAGATATAAATCACTATTATAAAAATACTTAAGCCTTAAGTTAATAATAGTAAACTCATATAATTCCATATCATAACTATCTTTATATTTGGAATATGAAACTTGTTAGGATCAAGAGCACTAAGAGGGGGGGGGGGGGTGAATTAGTGCAGCGGAAATCTTTCACTATTAAAATTGAAAGCTGCGTTCGTTTGATAAAAATGATTTCGATGTAAAAGCCGATTCTAAGATTACTTTAACTTAAGATTAAGCGAGATGACATTAAAGTAAATCTACGAAGGCAGTTTGCAATTTATGATGAAAATCAGAATGCAAGCGCAAACTGAAATGCGACGTTCGTACGATAAAACCGGTTTACGTCTAAATGCCAATTTTGAAGATACTGAACTTTGAGATACATTTTATAAATGCGCAGAAGGCAGTTTGCAGTTATGATTGAAATCAAAACGTAAACGTAAACTGAAATGTAATGATCGTATGAAAAAGCCGATTTATGTCTAAACGCAGATTCGGAAAGCTCTGAACTTAGAAACTCGTTCGTAAAAGCGCAAAAGGCAGTAACTATTTAGGAGGTTTGCAGTAAAGATAAGATGCTCAAAGAAAATGCAAATCGAGATTTAGAGTGGTTCGGTCAATCTTGACCTACTCCACTTTTGGCTTCCTCCACCGACGAGGTCATCGACGTCAACTAGAGGCATTCCTTCAATAGGCGAAGGCCAACCACCCTTTTACAGTTTCACTCCTTTTGACGGGCTTAGGAGACAACCCTTACAGAGATTTTCTCTCATCTCTTTACAAATCAAAACTTTGAAGAACAGAGGGAGGAGAACTTTTGGCCTTTACAATAATTTTGAGCTCTAAGAATCACAGAAAAAGATCAAGTTTTCGGTGTAAGTTCTTGCTCTTTCAGTGCTGAATGGGTGGGGTATTTATAGGCTCCAACCCAGTTCAAATTTGGAGCTCAAAACTGTCAATTCCCGGAATTCCGGGATCAGGCGGTTGCACCTCCTGGCTGGAGCGGTTGCACCGCCTGGCAGAGCTCGAAGACTGAGCCTCTGGGCAGTGCCACCTCTGTCAGGGGCGGTTGCACCTCTCTGCCAAAGCTCGAAGACCGAGCTCAAGCGGTTGCACCTCCTGACTGGGGCGGTTGCACCGCCTGCCAGAGCTCGAAGACCGAGCTCAAGC